CGTGCACACTACAGCATAAGATCGAACATGAATCTGATCAAGACTCTACATCTACTTCCCATTTACAGGAAACCAGCCAGAGAAACATGTTAAATGACACTGTGGAGGTGGATGCAACTAACCAAGTTCAGAATGTGGAAAAGATGACAAGGCAATGACTAGTTTCTTCAATAAACCAATTGCAGAGAACACACAGAAATGGAGGCAATATAGATTAAAAGAGATCAAGAGATGTACCAAACCAATTCTTTGCTATTTCTTCCATTGACGGTTGGATTCTAATTTCCCTCCCCTTGAATCTGAGCTGGCTTTAGTGACTTGCTTGACCAGTAGAATGTAGTGAAAGTGACATCCTGGAAATTCTGGGACTATTTCATAAGAAGCCTGGGAGTTGCCAGATGGGGCCACTTGCGGCACTGTCTCTGGGATTCCTGAGCCTCCATATAGGAAGTCTGAGTATTCTTAGATCGGTATGTTGCAGAGGCCAGAATATATAGGCCCAGGGGCAGTCATATGAATGACACCATCTTGGATCCTCCAGACCAACCATAGTCGATGTGGAATGGACCAGAAGGATTACTCAGCCAAGTATTGCTCAAATTACTAATCTATAATATGGTGAGATATAATAAAATGTCGTTTGTTTTTAGCTACTCAGTTTAGGAGTAGTTTGCTCTACAATTATAGATAACCGAATAACAGCTAATATTTTAAGAGGGACATTAAGATCTAGTGTTAGTAGAATGTGGTTTGCAGGAGGAAAGGATGAGGAAGAAAACAAGAAATATGTTTTTGGGTGTGCACAATTTGTGAGGTAATGTTATTTCATGATGAAAATGATACTTAATAAATAGTGTGGTGAAACTGAGGAACTGATTTCTTTTATTTGAGGTTTCAAAAATAGCTATGGGAAATTGGCATGGGGGGAAGAGAGAGAGAGAGATGCATAATTATTTTTCCCTTTATGAATGTGCATTCCTGACATCTCTGAGGATGAAGATTGTCCTGCAGGGAGTATGATTAAAGTTACAAAGAGGAAAACAAAATAAGTAAGTCAGCTCTTGATCCTGCTGCTATATTTACCCACAAGAAAGGAGGCCGCTCTCAGGTGGGCTTTTGTCTAAGTAATGTCCTGAAATCCAAGTGTAAAAGAACAATATGAAATCTCAATTCTCCCAAACGGTTTGGGGCAGTTCAGCCCTTGAGCCCCTGGGGGGCTTGGTTCCCAAGGAGACTAATCCCACTTGCTTAGCATTAGGTATCACTGGGGCAAAAGAGCTCTAGTTTGAAGCTCTGCAGAGAGGCCCTCGTGCAGGCTGGAGCTGGGTCCCTCTGCCCCATAGGATGTGAAATGTATTGATGTTGAAGTCATTCAAGTGAGTGTGGCTCACTCAGGGTGTAGGAGGAGGGGCCGATGGGCCTGGCAGGAGCTGGCCACTGACTATTGAAACTAATTTCACCCCAGATAGAGCTCTTCCCCAAAGGAAAGTAGATCAAGGGGGAAAGCATCTGAGACCATGAGGTGGGGTCTCCATGTACAATTTAGTTGGATATTGGAAGCTCTAAGGATTTATTTTGGCCTCAGGTACTAGTTATTTCAAGTACAAGTTGTTCTTTGTTGCCTTATTATCTGTAGTTTTCCATAAATACCCTTACTTTCATATGACCATGCCTCTGCCCAGGCTGTTCCCACAGATATGGCTTGCTTGCTCGGTACACTCGAATGCATCATTTAAATCTTAGCTCAAATGCTACCTGCCTATGCAGGCTTCCCTGCCATTTCTGAGCAGACCTGAGGGTCCTCTGATCCCATCAAATATTGCACCTTTAAGTTACTTCCACTGAGGCATGTACTGCATTGTATTATAATGACTTGTTTGCATGTCTGTCTTTCCATCAGGAAAGAGATCATGGCTTCTCATCTCTGTATTTCCCAGTCCTAGCTCCAATACTGTTGGTGTCAATAATGTCTGAATGAATAAGTGACTACATGGATATTTTATGTATAAGGATCAATTTTGTGAATCAGGCTACAGAATTTCTAAGCCATGAATATCTTATATGTATGTATATAGAGAGCTTTATGGTTGACAAAGAACTTCCTCTTGTATTAGCTCATTGATTTTCACAATAGCCTTATCAAATAGGTTCACACTGTTATTCCCATATTATAGATGGAAACATTGGGCTTTTCTATAATCAGTTGGATAATAAAAGGCAGGATTGGACTCCAGTCTTCATCTCAGGCTCTTAATTTTAGCTCTCCCTCTGCTACATTAGATTGCCTTTTTCTAAGTTTCTACAGCCTTCAAGTGGAGCTGCTCTCTTGCATTTGAAAATAGTCACTTTGTTGGGGGAAAGGACAGATGATGCTGATTTTATAGAGTGATGTGTTGGTAAGGAACTGGTGAGGCCTAAGGAATCAAGAACATGGATATTTGTTGAGCCCCTATTTCATGCCAGGAACTTTCATATGCACCGACTCACAAAATCTTTGAGGAGTTGAAATTATCTTTATTGTACAGATGAGAAAAGTAAGACTCAGAGGTATTATTTGTCTTTTATGTCATGTAATTCTCACAAAGACTCTGAGAATAGTTATAACCATTCCCATTTTTCAGATAAGGAAACTGAGCCTCGGGAAGATGAACTGACTGGTCCAAGAACCCACTAGCAAGTGAAAGGCCAGAATTTGAACCTGTCCTCATCTAACTCCAAAACAACTCTGAGCTTAAAACTCCAAAGGTCTGGAAATGAAGAGACTTTCACATATGACACCCTTAATATTCTATTTATTTTGAATATGATTATGTTAGGGCTTAGTTAACTCTCTGCAGATTAAGAGAGATTTTTCAGACTAAAGATAACAAATGTAAAGTCCTATGCAATCTGTGTCTGGGGATTTGTAAGACCTGCTCAGTTAAAAGAAGGTGAAAAAAAGAGTGCTCTTAGCTGCCAGACATGGAGGCCTATGGAATGGTCCTGTCAAAAAGGGGAAGGGAAGTGCTGACATCCACATCTGACAGGTGAGAAACACAACTCAGTAACAGGCTCACACAATTTTCTTAGTGCAAATGTCACCAAGAGTAAAACAGATAGTCCAGTGATTGAAGACAAAATCCTGAGTGTAACTCTAATGAAAGGTAAATTATAATTGAGCCACCTTAATTAAAAAAAATTAAAAGTTTGATTCAGCTATGTTGGTTTAGGAAGTGTCTACTTCATCTCCTAAATGGAGAGTGCTCATCTGGGTTCTCTTCTTTGATAAGTCTGTGCCTTCAGGGTGCTCAAAAATCATTTTGCTACATCCTGAAAAATGAGGCTTAAAGAAAAGAGTTTCATAAGAGATGGTCTGCATCTCCCTGAGGCAGACTCTGCATCTAAACTATCATAACTTAACTTATTTGTTTATTTTTAAAGATTTATTCATTTATTTGGGGGGGAGGGGCAGAGGGAAAGGGAGAGAGAGAATCTCAAGCAGACTCCCTGCTGAGGGGGGAGCTCAATCTCACAATCCTGAGATCATGACCTGAGCTGAAATCAAGAGTCAGTCACTTAACCGACTGAGCCACCCTGGTGCCCCTATCATAACTTATTTAGAGAACACTTTATCACACACCTTATATGTCTTTTCTATCACTGTGTGTTCATATATGTGATCTCACTGAATCCTCATGAACACCCTGTGACAGAAAATACATAAGGGAATATAGTCACCTTCTTGTGTTTTAGAGAAATAAGGGTGAATACTCATCACAGGGTATGCAAGAGTCAACAGATAAGGATTTTTCACAGGATGTTTCCTTTAAATATGACAGGTGCCCATAAGGTGGGCGACCCTTACCTGCATTTAACGTGAGTAAATTAAGGCAGAGAGAGGTTGGCTGGTTTGGCCAAAGCCATGTATTTATCAGAATATGGATTTTAACCCAAATCACAGAGCTACTGAGTGGTGGAGCTAAGACAGAATGGGGAACAGACACATCTTCTCTGAATCATCTTCCGTGATCTACAATATTGCTCATTTTTTCTATCCCAAGAGGATCGCCCAGGTGAAACCAGATCCAAGTGAACTTCAGGGTGATCCTTGAAATGCAACTGAAGTTCCAGAAGGACAACTTAAATGGCATGACAAGTAGGGGAGAGGTTCCCATCCATATTTTGTCCTAAGATGCTGTAAGTTTTATACACACACAGGGTTCTCTCTCAAGCACCAGCTGGCTTAGGGTAGTGACTCCATTCTCCTTTGCCTCCTGCTGTCTCTCTACAATATTAAAAGATAGGTCCAGTGCTTGCCTCAGTTTACTATAAGCTAATTGTTATTTGTAACAATAGAAAGAAGAGTATAATAGAAATAGGGTAGAAGAAGGATTACCGGTCTTGAGAGTCCTGTGGAAACTCCAATTAGAGCCTTAGGAGCAGGTCTATAGCTTGAAGACACATTAGTTGCCTTCTCTCATCATATAGATGAAGAGGAAAGGGCCAAGTCAAAGCACAAATTCTGTGAAGGACTTAGGAATGGCTTTGGAGTTGAACTGGACTGAATATGGCTTAGGCCAACTCACCGAACCCTCTGAGGCTGCTTCTTCATTTGTTAGATGGTGATAATAATATGCACTTATTATTAATAAGGGATATTGTTCAAAAATGAAATGTGATAATGTACACACAGCGCCTGGCATAAGCAAGCCCCCAATACCTGGTGGCTATTATTGTTACCAGAGCAGGGGGCTGAACCCACCTCCTTGGACTCTTGCCTTCTCAGCCTCAGGGAGAGTCTCCCGCGCCAGAGCGTGGTGGTCCAGGAGCTGGAGTTTGAGGCCAGGCCATCTTATCCTCGCCTCGTGCTGCTGCAGCTAGCCCACAGAAACGCCGCAGGGAAACGAAGGGGTTAAAGTGATGAGCTTGAGAAAGCCCTGAAAGCTGGAAAAACGCCCTCCCTCCCCCCCACGCCCCCGGCCTGGCTAAGTAAGCCCCTCCCCTTCGCCACCGGGGCGGTAGCCTTGCGCTCCCTCCCTCCGCCCCTCGCTTACAAGACCTAATGAGCTCCCCCGCGAGGCCAGCAGCGAGCCCGGCCCCGAGCGAGGAGGCTGCGCCGCGCGCGCCGCGCCAGGGCGGGAGCCGGGCCTGGGTCGCGGGCGGGAATCGGCCAGGGGCGCACCAGCCGCGCGGCGGGCCGCCTGGGAGTCGCGGCGATGGCGGTGCAGGCGGCGCTCCTCAGCACGCACCCCTTCGTCCCCTTCGGCTTCGGGGGCTCCCCGGACGGGCTGGGGGGCGCCTTCGGAGCCCTGGACAAGGGCTGCTGTTTCGAGGATGATGAGACCGGGACACCAGCGGGCGCGCTGCTGGCCGGCGCCGAGGGCGGGGACGTGCGCGAGGCCACCCGCGACCTGCTCAGCTTCATCGACTCGGCGTCCAGCAACATCAAGCTGGCATTGGACAAGCCCGGCAAGTCGAAGCGGAAGGTGAACCACCGCAAGTACCTGCAGAAGCAGATCAAGCGCTGCAGCGGCCTCATGGGCGCCGCGCCCCCCGGCCCGCCCTCTCCAGGCGCAGCGGACGCGCCGGCCAAGCGGCCCCCAGCCGCCCCCGGCGCCCAGACCGTCGCGGTCCCGCCCCACGGCAAGGCTGCCCCCCGGCGGGAGGCGTCTCAGGCCGCGGCTGCCGCCAGCCTGCAGAGCCGGAGCCTGGCTGCACTCTTCGACTCGCTGCGCCACGTCCCCGGGGGCGACGAGCGGGCCAGGGGTTCGGTGGCGGCGCCCGTGGCCGGGCTCGGTGGAGCGGGCGCTGGGGGCTCGGGAGGGGACGCGGCCGGCCCCGCGGGAGGTACGGCCGTCCCCGGCGCCAGGAAGGTCCCGTTGCGGGCCCGCAACCTGCCGCCGTCCTTCTTCACCGAGCCGTCCCGGGCGGGAGGCGGTGGCTGCGGACCGTCGGGGCCCGGCGTGAGCTTGGGCGACTTGGAGAAGGGCGCGGAAGCCGTGGAGTTCTTCGAGCTGCTGGGGCCGGACTACGGCGTCGGCACCGAGGCGAGTGTCTTGCTCGCCGCGGAGCCTCTCGATGTGTTTCCCACGGGAGCCGCCGTCCTGCGGGGCCCCCCGGAGCTGGAGCCCGGTCTCTTTGAGCCGCCACCCGCGATGGTGGGGAGCCTACTGTACTCCGAGTCCTGGAGCGCCCCGGGCTGCCCCCCGACCAAGAAGCCGCCCCTGGCCGCCCCCCGCGGCGGCTTGACCTTGAACGAGCCCTTGCGCTCCCTGTACCCCTCTGCGGCGGACTCTCCCGGCGGAGAGGACGCGCCCGGCCTTTTGGCGTCTTTCGCCCCCTTCTTCTCAGACTGCGCACTGCCCCCGCCCCCGCCCCCGCCGCCGCATCAGGTGTCCTATGATTACAGCGCGGGCTACAGCCGCACGGCTTACTCCAGCCTCTGGAGACCGGACGGCGTTTGGGAAGGGGCGCCCGGGGAGGAGGGGGCGCACCGGGACTGAGGGAGAGGTACCGTTGCCTGTTTGCGACTGCTGTGGGGAGCTCCCGCCTCCGGGTTTCTCCTAAGCCTGAGAACGATAGGAAAGTGCACGTGGAGATGAAACGGGATTTTAAAATATTCAATTAATAAAAGAAACTTAAAAAAAATGAAGAGGAGTTGGGGGGGTTGTTTTAATCACAGCCTCAAGTGTTAAAAAAACAAAACAAAACAAAACAAAAAAACCCGAAAAAAGCCGTTGGTAGGTTCTTCCTGGACCAGACAAGCAAGAAACCACGCCGGGCTTTGGGGAATGGGGTGGGGATGGTGGAAGGGACAAGGGGTGGCTTCTGTAGCCACCTGACCCTTCTACAACTTTTCAGCAAAAGGTCAGTGTGTTCAGTGTAATTGCCCCATCCAAACAGTGCGCTGGTTCCTCCCTTTCCTTCCCTTTTGAGTGCATTATGAATTAAAGCCTCTATTGAAAAGACTGGAGCGAAGATACGTTATTGATTGGGGTGTTTTCTTAGAGGACGGTTTTCGGTATGGTCTCCTTGCCTTGCGAGGTGAGAGTGGTATTGAGGACAGGAGGTCAGTGGCCCACTGCTGACCTCCTGTGCGCTGATCCTTTTGCGTGCGACTCTTCTCTGACACTCAGTGTTCTCTGCTCCCTTCCTCTTCCATCTCATATACTTCTATTTCTTTCCACTCTCTCCAGTGCTGTTGCTTACTTTCCTTCTCTTTCTATGGTCTCCTGTTGCTCTCTCTTGATATTTTTTTCTGTCAGCTTTTCTTTATGTAGAAGTTTAAATTTGGCAAACCTTGGGGTCCATTTCTCTCCTTTTCCCGTTCTTCAGCCACTTTGCTAAGGTGGCACTGGGCAAGTTACAATATCTTTGTATCTAAATTTCCTTATTTGAGAGGAAGGGGATAATATTCCTTCTCTTATCTCTTCTTTATAGGTTGTTGGGTAGCTCAGAGGGGAAATATATAAAACTCCTTGGGGCTGCTTCATTGGTTTTGCAGGTATCCATATTTTATATACATGTATCAATAGTTTATACAGATGGAAGCCATTAGGGTTGTGAGTCTCATGCTCTTTTTTGGCCTATGCCTGGTGATTGCCCTTTCCCTTACAAGCTGTAAATGCTATCTACCCTTTCTCCCTTCTGTTCCACTCCCCACCCCACACCCCCTTGCTTGGTTTCTGCCTCCCTGTGTGTCCTCACTCCCTATATTCACACTCTCCCCGTGGAAGGGAATGGTGAGGGTATGAGTTTCCTAAGGAGTCTCTATTCCCTAAATAGCAGGGTTGATGAATGGAATTTGAAGGGCCCGGAAGAGTCCGATCTGTTATCTGAGAGAGATTTGGGGGAAAAGTCAGATAAATGTTTTAACCAGCCATAATGTGGCAGAGAGAACAGATGATGTCATCGGTGTGGTTGAGGGGCAGAGAAGGAAAGACTGGGTGGGGAGGGAAGCAGCTGGAAAGAAAAGAGGGAGCCCTTTAGTTCTGCAGACCTGCCATGAAAATGCATGAAGACCAACATTCAGGATGTGTAAGGAGATGTCATTTACTGATTAATGACATTGCAAAGAGCTGCCTCGGTTCAAGGCAGATTCTAAGAATATCTACATGTGAGAAAGTAGAAACCCCCGTGTTACTGCAAAAGATGTTAAAATCCAGATTAATGTTTGTACAAGTCAAAAGTGCTGTGACATTTTCAGAAAGGAATTTGTCAAGAAACTAATGGGTATCGAGACATGGCAGACAACTTTAAGTGGTATTACTGAGTCTCTTTTATTCTAAATAAAACCTTTCTTAAGATAGCGCCACAGGAAATAGAGCAATGAATCTTGTTAATGATAAGAGAACTTTTTCAACTCCAGAAACTTGGTGTCTATCAGATTTCTTTCAAAGTGATAAAAAGTGACTAATTCCATTGTGTTAGCAGAATATTATTCAACAGTCGTTTAATTTCTCTGAACTACTTTATGATGAGTATTACCCAGGGTAGAATTTCACAGGAGGAAAACGTTAACAACCCTGTGTCGATTACTAAGGCCATAGCAGGCACTGCAATGTTTCTTTCTTAATTTCTTCTTTCTTTTTATACCCAGTTCAGTAAAACAGGTTCTTTCTCTCCCAGGATTTTTCCATGCCTTTCATTAACAGTGATAATACCAACACTGTGTGTTTCCCTGTGCCTGCACTGAGCTCCTTAACGGTGCCATGAGGTAGGTGCTATTATTATCCCCGTTTGAAAAGAGAGGCTCAGACTTGTTAAATAACTTGTTGAAATCAAGTAATGGGCCCAAGATCCAGATCTACAAATATCCGAACAGCAAGACCTGCTGTGCTTTGCTAGTGTGTAGGGTCCCCAGTCCCCTGCATTATACTACCAACAGGGGTTCTCAACCTCACTGCTATTGACTTTTTGTTCAAGATAATTCATTGCTATGCAGGCTGTCCTGTGCATAGTAGAATGTTTAGCGCATCCCTGGCCTCTACCCACTAGATAACAATGACACTGCCCCAGTAGTGACAAGAACATCCCCATTACCACGTGTCCCCTGAGGGGCAAGATGGCTGCCAGTTGAGAACCACTGTCCTAGACAAATATAGAAACAGCGTCTATGGGGGGTCCCTGGCACTTTTGCAGACATGGTCTCATTTAATTTTTTTTTTTTTTTAAGATTTTATTTATTTATTTGACAGAGAGAGAGACAGCGAGAGCAGGAACACAAGCAGGGGGAGTGGGAGAGGGAGAAGCAGGCTTCCTGCCGAGCAGGGAGCCCGATGTGGGACTCGATCCCAGGACCCTGGGATCATGACCTGAGCCGAAGGCAGATGCTTAACGACTGAGCCACCCAGGCGCCCGGTCTCATTTAATTCTTACAAAGGCCTGTGCTTAGGTATTTTTATAATCCTCATGACAAAGGAAGGCTGAAGGGAGGGGTTCCATCAATCAATTTAGCTATATCTTAGCTGTGCTAACTTACCAGCGGTGGACCAGTTACTCGGCCATATTGAGACACAGGCTTCCTGTTGGCAAAATTGAGTAACAGTCTTCACAAGGAGTTATCGTGGGGATTTGGCATAGGGAATGTATTAATACCCACCAAGAGGGAAGGGCTAGTTCTCAGTACCAGCCAGCCAAGGCTTGGCATTACGCCAAGGTTCCAAACCCCCATGTTATCCAGGACTCGGAGAACGTGTGCTTGGTCACTATGCAGGCTCCAATTGCCCCATGTCTGATTCCTCTTCTCCCCACATTGCCTTCCCATCTGAGCACGTGTGTGTCTGACCATGATCATGCCACCTGCTGTAGTACCGTAAGTAGCAGCCATTAATAATAGTCCGGCCAAGGGCTGACGTTATTGTTGCTTCCTCTCATATGTTATTTTCTAGTGCAGCCTGTTAGAAAGTATTTTTGTCTCTTGTTGAGTCACATAAGTGCTTGTAGAGATTTTTTGGGGGGGGTACAATGATAGATATTTTTCAAGATAAGAAATACAATATGCTTGCAATTGTATGACTTTGGACAGGCTACGGATCTTAACCTAGTTGGTAATAATTACAGTGTATGCTGCATATTCATGATTGCCCACCTCAAACTTGGTGCCTGGAATGTGTTGGAGTGTCTTCCTGCATCCTTTAAGTGGCTGTCCTAAGCCTTTTCTCATCTCCATTCAAGCCTCTGCCCTACCCCTCTCCTCACTCCCACATCCCGACAAGATGGAGAGCATCTGTTTTCATTTCCCTCTATTTCCCATCCCCTCTTTCACAGTTTTTCTGGAGTTTTTCTCTCCAGCAGGCAGGACCTTCTCCTGCCTTCGAGGCTCAGCATCCTGCCCCTCCTACTTCATGAGAACAATATGCTGCTCCATCAATCATCTTTAGTCATCTGTATCTTCGGCCTCACCCTCACTTGTTCCTCTCCTCCTAGAAATAAACATTTGATATGGATTAAAAATAAGAAAGAGAGAGAATAAAGAAGTGGAAAGCTCTTCTCTAGATATTCCTTTGTTGTCTTCTCTTTAGAGTTGAGTCTTTCAGGAAAAGAATCCACACTTTTTGCCTCCACCTCACCTATTTAAACCTTGCCTATTTGGGGTCCTAACCACCCCAGTTTGTGTGGGACTGTCTCGGTTTTAGCCCTGAAAGTTCCAAGAAGCCCCTCAGTCCTGGGCAAACTGGTATGGATGGTCACTCTACTTCTGCCTAGTGTTTCCCCAAAATTGTTCTCACTGAAGTCTCAGTCACCAACCACAGGGTCTTCAGCCTTCAGCTTTTTTGACCTCAGCACTGCATCTGAACAACTGGGCCCCACCTTCCTAAAGCTCTCCTCCTTGGGTTTTTGGAATATCATCTTCTTTTGGTTTTCTCCTAACTTTGTGGCCATGCCCACTTCTTGCTGGAACTCCCATCCACTGATGTGCCTCTGGCTCCTCTCACTTCGGCCCTTTGCTCTTTATACTCCACACATTCTTTCCCAGTGATGGTGGCTCTTCCCAGGGTTCCAGCTATCACTGATGCACTGAGGACCCCCCAAATCTAGGCCTGCTTGGCTTCTTTCCTCCATCCTAGACCCATTTCCCCTCCTATTTCCTAGACAACTTCTCTTGGAGGGGTGAGGGCTCATAAGCTCTTCAAACTTTATGTCCGAAATTGAATGCATACACAACTGGAGTAGCCCACAGTCAACCTGGCCACACTCTTCTTGTAGCGGCTCTCATCCTGACCAAACAGTTGCCTAGGCTTAGTCCATACTAGCTTCTAAGTCAGTATGTCTCAAATATTTTTCTTCATCACCTTCAGAAAAACCTCATTTTATGTTATGTCTCAATATATCCATTTCCTATTCATATAAGTTCATATCCATATAAACATACTCACATTTAATAATTTAGGTATTATTAGATTATTATCTATATTAATATTCAATGATCTATTTTAATAGATCATTGAAAATTTTTTTTACCAAGCCCAGATTCTTACTAGGAGCTATGTGAAACACTGATATTTTCTTTTCTATTTAATAAAACCTGGTTATTATCCACTCCGTGGCTTTTATGGCTCACTAATGAGTTGGGCTTGCTGTTTGAAAGATGCTGTTCTAAGCAACTCTTGTGTGTCTCTTCAGCACTCCTTTGCCAATGTCACTTCCTTAGTTTGAACCCTCATCACCTCCCACCTAACCTAGTGTAAGGATCTCCTAATGACTTTCTTGTCTATGAGGTCACGATCCTTTAATCCATCTTCACCATCACTCCCTGAGCTGTTATTTCTAAAAAACAACTTTAGTGCAATCATTACTTTCCTTAAAATCTTTCAGTGGCTCCCTGTCATTTCCAAGGTGAAATTCAAAGTCCTCAGCTTAAACATGTGGCTCCTGCCAGCCTCTCTGGTCTCACCTACTGGTCCTCCATAGTCCCTGTGTTTTGGGAATTTAGTACTAATTATAAATAGTTGCTTGAATACTCCATATCTATATCACTTCCATGAATTTATTCCTGCCCTACTTATACCTAGAATGCACTCCTCATTTTCTCTACTTGCTAATTTCTGTTAACCCTGTTATTCTCAGCTTAAGTCCCAACTTCTTTTTTAACTTCCCTAGATCAATTAAGCCCCTCTACTCTGGAATCATCTATGATACTCTCAAATCCCAGGCTTATCTTCTTATAGCAATTAATTACACTGTTATAACAGTTGTTATCTCTCTGCTTCCTTTATTGGGAGCAGGTAATTGCCTCTGCATTCTTATCACTTTCTGGAATCTGGCAATAGTAACATGTAATAAATGATTACTGGATGAATTTTATGGTGCTTTAGAGATGAAAAAGAAACTTCCCACTCATCCACATGTTTGACCTTCACCCCAAACTTGTCAATTGCCCATATAATCATATGTCACTATTTGTTAAGAACCTACTGTGCAAAGAGACCCCTCTTCTGTGGGAACCCTAACTGTGGCAGGAATTATGTGTGTGGAATAACAACCATACCAGTAATTTTATCAAACCAGCAAGCAGAGTTGTTTTGCCTGGAGCAGGGCATTTGGTGACAGGCACTGAAGATATTGTGACAGGCTTTCAATCATTTGTCCCATGTATAGAGTGTGACCAGAATTTTCTTCTGTGAGATCAGCAATAACTAGAAACCCCGTTTTTAATGAGTCTGCAATTGAGGTGAGCAGTTGACACAATGAAATGTTCAGTGTCAATATGGAAGTGAAGAAACAAAGCAAAATATTTTAAGAGATGTCATAAAGTACTCGATAGTTTTGTTGCTAAATGAATGATATAGGCAGTTTTTTTTTTTTTTCACTTTCAAAAGGTGATATTCTTAGGGGCGTCTGTGGCTCAGTCGGTTAAGCAGCTGACTGTCA